TGATTTCATTACACCAGTAATGGAGGCTGTTTTTATGCCGTAGTCAGTGCAAATCTAGACGTTTGACGATTTCTTGCTCGCCTCTCATTGCTTGGTCCGTGCTGCCTACGCACAGCATCAGAATCAGCCAATGAGGGATGCGCGAGCAACAGAATCAGCCAATGAGAGATGCGTGAACCAAGAGTACCACTTCTGCGAGTGAATCCCCAAGATTTTGTTGTAGAATACGCTCACAGCTGGGGTGCACAACATGATGGGCTTGAACGAGATGCAGCTGGCCGTGAAGAATGTTTACCAGATTATTCTGAAGGTGGAAATTATATAATGCATATGTACGCACAAAATGGATACGATCCAAATAACATAGTAAGTACTACAGACATTGACAGATTGACAGGTTTTCTAGATTTGTTTACTTTAGCGTTTCTCGCCTTGTTCACGGAAAAGTATTCGTCGGATGTTAGAACGTCGTTGGCATCGTTGTTTTGAGCCAGAGAAGGCATCATTCTGTGGTAATGGCGTCGTTGAAGAAGGAGAAGATTGTGATGAGGGCAATTTTCTTACTAAAAACGGTAAAAACTTCCACTGAACTTCAATTCATACTTTTTCCGCTTTGCCTCTGTGTGAGAATAATTCATCTCATTCGGTTTTTTCACGAACCAGACTAACTTACTGATTGCTCTGTTAATTATTGCTGAAAAAAAACCATGTGGATTCCCAGTTCTTCATTGATTTTATTTATTTTAAAGACCGATTTTCGATTTCCCGATACATTTTCTAGGTAGCTCCAAATGCTGTACGACTGAATGTCGTCTGGCACCATCCGCTCAGTGTTCTCCTCACAATCAACCCTGCTGTAATGCAACTTGTTCTTATCATCCAGCAGATCACATATGTCTTCCAGGAGATCCATTACAGTGTAAAGCCTCCTCATATTGCACGTAAGTTATTTTTTCTTTTGTTTAAATCAGGCTCTGTTGGCGCAGAACGGGCCTAGGTACAACGCAAAGGGTTGTGCAACTACGAGCGAAATGCTGTGAGACTACCCAGAGCATGGATTTTTTTTGTATTTCTGTTAATATTAATGACATTTTCTGTAGGGGACATTCGGGAGAATGTCCAAGTGCTCCGGCAATAGCAAATGGCTCGCCTTGCATAGAAGAAGGAGAGTGTCAAGATGGAGTGTGCCTTCCATACTGTGAACGCAAAAGCATCGCCAAGAAAAGTTGTATATGCGAGGAAGGTAATTTGTATTTATTTCACTTACATTTGCATAGAAAAGTCGACAGGATGTTTATTGATGAGAGTAGATGTGGGGCGGAGGTGGTGTAGTGGCAAGTGGCGCACATCACACTTGGATGGTCAGGTTCGAACCCCCGATCGGTACCCGCTTAGGAAAACCAGGCCTTCCATCCCTCCGGGATCCGTTGATTGGTACCATACTCGTCTAGTAGGATAAAAAGCACTGACCTCTATATCGGCTGGCCACCGCAAGTCATTGTATAGGCCATATAATCATCGTATAGGCCATGCATTCAATACGCCTTTACGATTCTGGATTTAATTAAATGGACGCATCCCTCTGACCGGATTGTTTAGCGCCCGAGACTTTATCCTTTAACCTTTTCTTGGTACAGTAAGCTCCTCCTTTTTATAATTTTTTCTCTTTCAGTCCATCTATCCTGTCGTAGATGTTGTCGTGATGTCAATGGAACAGGTCTGTGTGAACCAGAACTGGGAGCGGCAGATCTTGTCGATGGAACTTGGTGTGCTCAAGGATACTGTAGGAAGGTCAGTTTTTTCATCCCACCTTTACTTCATTTTTTATTTATTTTTCATTTCATTTTGGTCTTCTGCAGTGAAGATGACTACTGCTATTTTAGTCTAAATGTGTAAATGAAGCTGCCGACTATGTGACCAGACATTTGAATGTACTCAGCGATCGAAGTCGTATATGTAGGTTTATCTATCGTTCTTTTTCTTCCTATTATTTTCCTCGTATAATCAGTTTCCAGTGTCTGTTCCAGGGCCAATCATACAATCAAATATCGTCGCTATTATAGTGCTTTTATCAATTGCCATATACATTCCAATTGGATGCTGTATCAAACGAGCCGTAAGTTGTTTTTTTACTGAATTCCCCTATTTCTGCTTTATGCTATGCCATAGCTACCATAGCCCAAGTTTTTTTACTCTTTAATAGCCTCTGGCTCTTCACCCTCCCGGTCTCTCTAAAGCTGTTTCCTGCCATTTTATGCTGTACCTGTTTTTTTTCGTCCTTTTCTTCATTACCTATATTTTTGTTTATCTTATATCAGTTTTCATGGATTGTATTTAACCTGTATTTGTCTGTTTGTTTAATTCCTTATTGTACGCATAAGTTTTCCTTACATTTTTTCTTTTTCTTGATACCACTCTTAGGTAATTTGAAAGGTAATTTGTTGCAGCCCCTGCCCTCGTATTGCGCCTCGATCGATACATTTTCTACACTGATTTCCTGTATTCCTTTTTGTCTTCCTTTTTTTAATCGTATTTTTTTCTCTTCTCCCAGACTGCTCCTTGATAATCCTTTTTTTCTGGACGATTTCTTCGCAAGGAAGTGCTGATATCGTTAAAGTAACTGGTTCATGATAGTCAACTATTTCTTTGTGTTTACAGGACAATCAAGAGTTACTGTCATCCCGTCGAGCGGGACGAGTTCGAACTGTTGATGTGACTCGCCCAGTGGACTTATGATTTTCTGTGTTTTCATCGATCTATAGAGATCTTGTTCCGCAATTATGGCCAGTAGTCCGAACGTTGAGCGCAGCTTCTCGGACTTTTTCCACTCACTTCCTCTTCTCAGCTCAGTCGTTCAGTTTGCTCACCTTTGAGTGCCTGTGATTTCTAGCTATTCCCGTTTCTGTCCATTTTTCGGGTCGATTCGATGAATGATGTTTTTGGTGCATGGCACAATGATCACTTCAATATGTTAAATTTCTAATTTTTGGAAAGCATGTATGTTTGTGCCTTACATACTTACTACTTATTAAATCATGTGCCTTGTCAATTGTATTTACCAGTACCTCTATGTCAAAGACGCACGGTTTATTCGAACATTTGGTTGTTATTATCCGATTGTTATGCTTTATTTTTAATAAACTTTATGAGTGACTTATATTCTTTTGTTCCTATCAATGGAATGTTATCTGTTAAAACTTTGCTGAGGCTTATCTTTATTTGTTCAAAAAGTTGATTTATTACTACTGAATTCGGAAGTGGCCTGGATTTGTCCCTATGTAAAATCCCTATCTAAAAACTGCTCTTCGTGACTGGAACACGAACGGCTAGTTGCTCTGAAGAGCGTCAAAATGGTGTGGTGCAGTAGGATCGAAATTGTCGCGTCGCGGCAAGAGAGACACCGTGCGCGAAGGGATGTAGCAGAATGCAGCGCAAGTAAGAAATACTGGAACAAAAGAGTTAACATTAGAATCATGCCAAAAATAATCATCGATTGAGCTGTATGAAGAACACTGGAATTGTAATAAAGAGGCGAATGATCCGCAATTGACGGGAGCGGCGAATCGATCGCGCAAACCGATTCTACTGCCCGTCTCCCTCGTCAGAGTAGTGTAGGTTCTTGAGTAGAATGCGCTATTTGTCAAATTCCAAGAAAAAGGAGGAAAAAGGAGTTTTCGTTGTCGTTCTCCAGTCGTGGGAGCAAGGTTTCATGTGTAGGCACCCATTTTAGAAAGCTAGAACGGGCTTCCAATTTTCCTCGATTATTTCAATCCAAAGTTCGCGAAGAGGCTGAATGAATTGTTGTCATAGATCAATTCCTTTGGGATGCGCCGTGCATTTGACTTTCATTCACGGCCGGCAGTGACAAATGAATTGGTTTCTGTCTATTCAGTGGTGGAATGAGGGAGGGGCCAATTTCTGAGTAACTGTGTTCAAAAACTATTCTGAAAAAAAAGCTCACAATTAGTCAGTCGGGGTAGGGTTTGACCCATGCCAGTGAAGATTATCCTCTTACATAGACTGCTCACTGCAAAACTTAGGGACATTCATGTAAGGTTTTCCTTCCTGCTTTGGCTGAATTCAAAGTAAATGAATCAACAAGTCAGTATTTCGCGCAGAAGCGGTCCAAATTCTATGTTTCTGTGGTTTCGAGAGGAAATCAAGCTGTGACGCATCGTAGAGGTATTTGTTTTTGCTGACCCATCGTGTGGAATCTGGCTAGCCTGAGCACCAAAGACTTGGAAGGCTCCAGTGTGAACTGTAGTGGCATGCTGGCTGCTTTCCAAGCAATATTTTGTGTTCAATAATGAATGATCGGGTGGAGTGGCGCAGTGATAAGTGGCCGCTTCACACACGCATGGTCATGGGTCCGAATCCCAGTTTGACATACGCCTAAGCCAAACAAGTCTTCTATCCCTCCGGGATTGGTTAATTGATAGCAGACTGGTCTGGGAGGATAAAAGCACTGACTTGTACATCACCTGGCCACCCCAATTCATTGTATAGGCCCTATACGCATTCAATAGGTCACTGCGATTCTGAATGGAAGTCGAGTGCGTGGGCGCATTCCTTAGACAGGATTGTTGACATCCCAAGACTCTGTTATCCTTTTCTAGACTTTTTAATGAGTGATCTGCTGAAATTGTACGGTAGGGCCATGTTAAAATAGCGAGTTAGCCTTAGCAACGTGTGCTCACCAACACCCTGAACTTTCGCAGACATTTGCTGATTCATCGGAGCTGTTACACCCATGATATAGGCGACCGATCAAAGCTCATATGACTTCTTCATATCTTGGCCAGTTGGCCTGCTCTTGTGATTCATCGTTCTTACAATTAGTACTTTCATTTTGTCATACCGGTTACTGCTACGCCTACATGCCTTGAAATTGACATACAGTATGGCTATCCTTCTATAAGTTTACCTTCCATAGCTCTTTTTGGAATTTTTATAGCCTACAGTATGCTTTCTACAGTACTGTAGCACTACTTAGATAATATTCCACCTGGTTGTCAAGTAGCATTTAGGTCGAGTGAATTGTAACCTTCATTCGATGGATTCACAAAAGATATTGGGAAGTGGAGAGCGATCCCGTCCAATAGGATAATGTCGGGCTGAGCTGTGTTAATAGGNAGGCTTAACAAATGATCCGTAGGAAGTAAAGGTGCTAGTTCCGATTTCCGATTTCCGCAGTGTCCACCGCTTCCGATCTTCCTGTTAAGGATGTAGTGGAAGCAATGGGAGCTTGTGTGTTAAGGACCATTTATGAAATGGGAATTTCCCATTACATTCCTCCCACTCTCAGACTTTCGCTTGTTTTGTCTTCTTTTGCTTTCATCGTCGTTTTAGTGCAGGCGTCCTTATTTCCTAAGTTTTCGGGGCGTTTTTTTTGTTCCGCTATAGTGCAGTGTTGACGGGAACCAGCGGGACCAGGGCTGATGCCAACGCCCGCCCACGTAGCTCGTTTGGGCTTTGCATTGGAGTTCAACACTGCACTTAACTGGTGCTAGGAGTAGTTATTTTATAGGGGAATTACCTATAAACAGATGCAGAGCTATTGAAAGCAGTTATATTTACCTGTTTAAATTAAGTTTATTCAGAAAACAAAACAAAAGTACATAGATTAAGTTATCAAACTAGGAGATTCTTTACCAGTTTTAACTTTGAATAAGGGTCTTGTTTCTCATTGGGAATGCGGAAAGTAAAATTCCATCAATGTGACTCAACTGGAAATATTGTTTGTCTGTTGGTTGTTGCGATAAAAACAAATCGTCGGAGGGTGAGAGAGCGCATATGGGGCGGAGATGTCGGGAACGCCGACGGATCGATTCCGCTGAAATGCCACAGAGCGTCCTGTTGGGGCATTGAATTATCATCGTTTATTTGATCATTTTCCTCTAATTTCAGGTTGTAATTCAGTCCCGTTCTCATTTTGTTGTGTTTATCCTGTTCATTGCAAAGATCTGGTTCATTCAGGTCAATATGGCACGAAATGAGACCGTGCTGTCGGGAGGCTCGTCTATTTCGGGTCAGTTCATGAATCATCTACTGACGCACTTATTGTACTCTTACTTTCTATTGCCGTATAATGCACGCTCGACAGTCTTTTCGCGGTTATTATGGCTTATTATGGCCACACTTCTTAGATTTTCGCCGCAATTATGATGTTTGTGGTGGTTTCGCATGACAACTAGTAACCAAGGTTGAGTTGAGTAACGACCTTGTCCGCAGCGGAGTAAAAAGTAGCTTCAGTATGAACCTCCAACCAAATATTGTCGATCCTGCAACAATTAAGTCAAAGAGAGTGATTTCGAGAAGCTACAGGCTAAAGCTACAAAAAATTGGCCGCAAAGCCGTGCAACCCTGCGTAGGCGGTCGCGATGCGACTGCTGCAGCAGCAAGGTTTTGCACTCTTCTCAGTGAAATTCCCGATAAAAAAAATAGGTCAAAGTATTCAAAAGAACGCTGAGCATTACTTTTACTTTCTGTGAGAGTAGTAAAGTGTCCCCGTGCCGTTTATTAGAATGCCCTTTAGAACTCTATAATGTGGAGGGACTGAATTTTAGCTTATGTCTATGTAGTATCAAGTTTAACTTCCATTAATGTCAATGAACCATTGAACATCATGCACTCCCATTCATTTTAATAGTACTTTCTAAACACTGTTACAAAATGTACTGTAATAAATAGAGTAGTAAAGTGATCCGATGTTAGTCTAACGGTAGTTTGGTAACATTTAACCATCCCAGTGCCGCGACGCAAACGCGCGCGGCTAATACTGTCGCGCGAACCACGATGCTTCTCCTAAGGTCCTACCTATTTGTTTTCAAAAACTTGATATTCAGTAATTAGCAGATTTTTCATTTATTTTTTGAATCTTTGACCGTTTAGGCGTTTTCGTCAGCTGCTATGAATCTCTCGAATCTTGTCTACAAAGCTGTTACATGAGTTGTTACATTGCCGATTACTGTAATGATGCGGCTGGACCTATGGTAGCATGTGCACCAGCACTAACTTCGTAAGTTACTTAATTACCTTACTAGTATAGGAGAGCTGAAATTTCGGGGTCCGGCCCTTGATTCTGAGGACTAAAAGCAAAAAATACCCCAAAGTCGTTACAGGGAGGGTTGTGAAGAGTCTAACAGAGGTTCCTCCTGCTGAAACCGTACTCAAGGGAGCGGAGGGAGCAAAAAAAGCTGGAAAAAGTCCAAAATATCTTGAGCAGGTTTTCCTGTCCCCAGTGGAGCCGACTGTGACGGGACCAACCTGTTTATTCGAGGGCGGTGCCCCGATGAGGTTCTGGTTGTACACACTGCATATCCGTCGGCATGGCTACCAACGATGCTGAGATCGCTCTGTTTCGGGTGTTCACTTCGGGATTGAAGTGCTTGACAGAAAGATTTCCATGGACCCAGAAAGGTCTGGTGATGATTTTCGGAGAGTTGACACCTTGCGAGGAGGTGGACTGGAGGTTTGTTGATGATCTGCTTCTTTCCGCTCTCGAAGACTCGGCTGATCAGTGCGCTTTCAATTTTCGTGAATATTGTTTTCCGGACTAGCCAATAAATGTAACTTCTTTGGAATTTCGATAAATCGAGGTATCAAATAATCCAATGTTTGGGAGACTATCAATTTCTCGAATTTTTCGGATCACTTCCTTCCCTTTTTCCAGGAACCAAATACATTTTGAAAATAGAAGGCTTATCTTTGTTGTGGTGCGTGAATAATGTCTGGTGGCTCGTTTTACTGGTTTACTAGTGTCATATAGTAAGTAATAATTCCATTTGACGGGGGCAACCGGAGTCGAGTGGAATTGAGCGTAGTGGTTCCATGTTTGAGAAATCTCTTCCGTTTTTCGAATTCCGAGGAAACAAGTCGGTCGTCATTCTCGGAGATCATTCTGCGTGGTGTCGATTATATTCCGATTTCCGTCCTGTCGTTGTAAAGCCAAAACCGCTTTGAAGAGGTCTTCAGTTGCTTTTGGATGCGCCGTGCCTTAGTAATCCGTTTGGATTGATTAAGTTAACTGAATGAATCTTCAGCTCCCCAACGTCCACTCCAAATTCCACTTGAGGTTTTCGCAGGTAGGTTATGTACTTTCACTTGAGTCACTCCAGCGAAAGGGACAGCCCGACAGATCTAAGAAGGGCAGTTGCACGTGTCCCTTCGGCACATCGTGCCCTTGATAGATGTCCTCAGTGGGGGTTACCTCATTGATTTCTCTAGAGCAGAGGGCTTTTTCGGAACAACTAAGCAGCTAAGCAAATAATTGCTAATACTAGTAGGACAGCTAGGAAAATAGTAGCTAAATGGCGGTTCAGCTGCCCGTTTTAATCACTGGGTTCACCATGAGGCTTAGTTTTGATTCTAGAACAATGCAGCCCTAGGGGAGGGAAAAGAGCTAGGATCAGGGTCAAGTAAGGTGCATAGTTGGTAGCACAAGGGAAGATTTCATTCTTTCTTCGGTCAAAGGGAAGGGGACGGGCTCGAATTGGACCATTTTCCGGAGGGCTTGAAGATTGATGTCTGTTCTCAAGGAAACAAGGTGAAAGCATGGTTGAGGGGTATATAATTTGAAGTACAATACTTTCGCTTTACCATTTTATTACTTTCAAATCTCTTCGCCGATATCTCTGGCAGAAACAGGACCGCCACCGTTTGCTTAGTAAGTGTCTTGAAAGACATATCTGGAGAGTCATGTATTTTTAAACATATGTGTCACACGGAAGCATATTTTGTCTGTCGATGTAGACAAATGACCCAGTAACATACTTGTTCAAGAAACATAAAAGAAAAAGCAGGATTCACAGCTGATTCAACCCAGACACCCCGCCCAATGAGTCATGCGGGCTCTCAGAGCCTCATTTCCTGTTCCGCATGTTTGTTGCTCCTCGGGGAGGCAGATATTTTTGCTCCGGGAGCATTCAAGCAAACATCGCCGTCGTTGTACTCGATGACTCATCGGTCGCAGCGTATTGAATGTCCCCAGACCTCCGCTGCGCCAAGCCTTTCATATCCTCATTTCGAAACCTTTCGCACTCAGCTCCGCCCATATTTGTCGTCCTTGGCACTCTACTGCATAGTACAACTTCATCCACTTTGTTACTGCTCGACAGGGCTGAGCTCAGAGCTCAGAAAGTCCGTGAGCAGTACAGACAGCTAGCTGGCTGTGCTTCTTGCTCTCACGATTAGCTTTCATTTGGTGTTGCCACCGATCGATCTCCACTGCCCTTCGCTAGCAGCAACATCGTTCCCCGCCAGCTAGCCCAGTACATTCACGACATATCACAAAAGTAGTAGTAATGAACGACGAAACCCCTCCACTATGGGAATCTGTACTGTCATTGGATTGGATGGGAGTTCTTTCATGGATTTATGATCATTTACCATTCGAAATCAAGTCTTATATATGGTAAATCTTACTTGGAATCTTTCCAATTACTACCAATTTTTATCTATTACTACATTTCAGGATGATCATTCTTACTCTACTATTTGTAATAACGTTATGTGGATGTTGCTGTATGATATGTTTCTGTTCACCATGTTGTATTTGTGCTATTTGGTATCGAAAACGGCGTTCACGTCGAAATCGTGGCGGAGTCGAATTCAGCACATATCCATCAGCACCTCCACTTCTATCAAAAATCTAGTTCCTTATATTCGATCTCTGTGATTCACGGGCTTATTTTTTCTGATGATTATTCTCATGTTCTTGTCAGTGTGCTAGGAGGTGCTTTGATTGACTTTCATACCTCGTCGCTATAGTTATTGATTGATCCCTATCTCGCGATCAACGCGCTCGCGTCGTTTTCTGTGTCACTTCGCGCTGCGTGTTTTCTAGATCTTCTAAAGAGCTTGTAAAGTGTTCAGGCCATATGAGAAAATGTGTGCCTCATGAAAAATCCGATTTATATTTTTTAAGGCACAGTCCAGCCTGAATTTTATTTTTTGAAACCAGTTATTTTGCAAGCCCTGGGCTGCTAGCATTATATTGATGCAACGCGTTTATGTTTGTTTTGTTTTTTGTTGGGGATTACAGTAATCTAGCTTATAAAGCACAACAAGTACAAATAAGCTTTTCAACCGGGCAGGGATTACGTGAATTCCATCAACAGCTATCTAATTACGTATCGATTGCCGCAAGCGTACCTTTCACGAGTGACCCGCCCTCGGCACCATGGAAACTCGTCCACTGCATGACCTCTTGTCTCCGTGATTAAAGATTTTACACTTGGTAATGCCAAAAAAGGTGGCGCTTCCAGAAAAGAAGAAACAGAGAACAAAAATTCAGGTTGGACTGGGTCTTCAACTTTCGATTGTTAGTTATTCAGTTAGAATACGCTTTCCGGTACGCCTTACAACTGTGTTCTGTTACGATGTTACTGCGAGTGTTTTTTTTTTTGTTGTTTTTTGGTCGATTTTCTTCGAAAC